CACACTTCTGTCCGAATGTTGTTCCTTTCGCCTGATTCTTGCCTACGTGGGTAGCTGGAAAGTATGTATACCGCGTACGGCCGATCCAGCACCCTATCGTCGCGTCAAAAGTGGAAAAATGAAACAGGAAACATGTGACAACCCGGAACACACAATAAACTACCGTAATGATTCGATTTAGTGCCTTCCTTCCAATAAACACCCCCTTTCGAATAAGCGCCCCCCTTCGAATGTATTTTTATTAATAACCGCCCTTATTCCAATACGTGCCCCCTTTCGAATAAGCGTCCCTCTTCGAATGTGTTTTTATTAATAAGTGCCCCTATTCTAATATTGTAATATTACAGCGCCGTCAGAGTACCTATCAACGGAGGTTCATACCGTTTTAAAATTTTGTTTTGAACATTCGGTAGTCTCTCAGAATAGAAATAAGCGCCCTGTCCCGATTAAGCGCTCTGTCTCGAATAAGCGCCCTCTTTTGAGGTACCAAAAGCAAATAAGCGCTCCGTGCACTAAATCGAATCATTACGGTAATTACTTCGACATAAGCTCTTCTGCAGCTTCTGTAATTGTTGCGGCTTTTTGTCATTTTACCTGTGAGTGTGAACATATCGTGATTTAGAGACAACGAGGATAAATAGTGCGCAAAAAGAATTAACATCAGAACAGAGTGAAGTACTCTTCTTAATTCGTGTCTTTTATTCCCGACTGCTATTTCCTAGTAAAATTAGGTTTGAAGTCGCTACTGTCTTAAACACCGCCGCAATTTTGTGTTATCACTGCGGTAGTTTTGTTTTTTTTATAAAAATTCACCGTGTTAAAATTTCAGTATCGATCCTTATTAACGTCCACAGCCTATACACCAAGACTCTAAAAGGGGAGTAAAGAAACTACACGTGTATATGCACTCCAGAAGTTTTATTTTCGCTTTATGGTTCCAACATTTCCTATGACTATCCAACAATTACTAAGTACCTTGAGTGATGTACGAAGGACATCACGTGATTTAAGTAATCGTCTGGGTTTAGGGTTTTTCCTTACTTGGAGCACGACAAGAGTTAAGGTTACTTAGGCTAAATGTCGGGATAGGCCATCACATGGAAGACCCAGTCCTTAAGAACTGCCACTCGTGCGTACACCCCATAATAATTTGGCTCGGCGCAGCTGTAGCCCCAGCTGGTGTCACCCATAAGGTACCATTTGCCATTGTCTTCACACACCAAGGGCCCACCGGAGTCCCCCTGGCAAGCATCCTTACCGCCCTGTGGAAACCCCGCACACAACATCTCGTGCGTAATTTTGCTCGCTTCATAGGAGCCATTCTTGGTGCATTCCTGGTTCGATACCAGAGGAACCATTGCCTGTTGTAGTTCATCAGGTGATTCACCTCCCGGTTTTAGTGTACCCCAGCCGGTTATCCAGCAATCAGATCCGGGGGGAAACCCTATCTGGTCGTCAGGTAGGCACACAAGCGCTACGCCATCCTGAAGTACTGCGGGACGGTCGAGATGGATGAGTGCAATGTCGTTGTTGTAACGTGTCGCACTGTTGTATTCGTGATGGAAGTAGATCCTCCTAATATCAAAGTCTTGTTCTGAACCAATTAGGTGTGAGGTGTTTTTGTAATGTCCACCCATCCTATTAGAGTCACCGAACAGAAATCGCTTACGTTTACCTAGATTGTCCTTAACTCTCGTTCCTTATTTTTCCTTCATTAGAACAACATCTTAATTTGACAAGCTATTCCTGAGCTTATTTAACTTCAAGTTTTGAAGAGACTTTGAGGGGTTATATCAAGCTATCCCTTCACCAGGATTGCAAATAGACTTTCTAGTGTAGATTCTGCAAATTTTCTTCGGCTGACAGCAGTTCCTTCACTGATGTATTGAAGTAGAAAATAGGTGCTGTCTCTGTACTAACTAGGCTCTAGCGTTACATAGGGGAAGAGGCTATTGTACCCATGAAGGCTAACAAAAGAAAAGGGGCTTGTTATTGTAATGATGGGCCTTTAACCTGGATAGCAGACTGGGAAAATGATACCACAAAACTAACTCTTTGTTGATTAATTTATATTTTCATGTTAACGTTCCAATACCTGACCCTGTGAGTGACGTAATCTTCTTTCCTAATATCCACTACACAGTGTGCAGCGGTCAGTACCCACTCAAAATGTACCAGTGATCCCCCACA